GAGAGTAAGAGGGATATTTGGCAGAGTCTGACCAAGAAAGCACAATCTTTGCCCTTTCATTAACTAGCCTGGGTCATGCCACAGTTTCTCTCTTTCTATTTTTCTCATGATAATTTGCTTCTCTAGTAAGCCACCTTAATAACATTGGGCCACTGGTAAAGGGCACTGCCTGCAAGGCATGTACATGAGGAGCACAGACTGTTAAATGGGATAAGGACACCAGGGAAGGAGGTGACACAAGCTCTGTCGCCAGCAGGAAGGCTGCAGGCTCTCAGGACGGAGACTTGCCCTGACTCCTACCCCTCCCTCTGCACAAATGTGATTAGGGCTCTGCAGAGCACACTGAAATCAAGTTAGCGTCACTGAGCAGTGCTGAGCTGGGGTAATCAGAGCCTGGAGCAGAACAGGTGCTAGCTTTAATATGGCTTCTGAAAATTAGGACAAGCTGATTTACAGCTCTGAGCCACGTGTTCAAGTCGTTTAGAGCACTGTCCCTACAGCCCCCTGCTGCTTCGCCATCCTGGATCCTACTGCCTGTCTATAGCTCCTTTGGCTCTAGAAAGGACTGGGGCCTGTGGCAAGATGTGGTACAGAGTGTGGGGTTCTTTAACTGACAGTTGAGGAATGGGGCCCAGGAGTCCTATGCTCTGAAGGTGTGCCTGAGGGCATATACAACTGTTGGTCTGTTTCTGCCCATGTACTCCTGGGCAATTACCCACTACTGGTACCTTCCTTAAGTCAAGTGTAAGATAGGGACCACGAACCTATCTAATGATAAGGTCACTGTGATGATTAAACATAGAACTCAGAGCATCGAACCTGTATTGAGTAAGCACTACAAGCAGTCACTCTCTTTTATTTTCCATCAAGTCTTCTTCCAGAACAAGACAGAATTTTATTGTTTGTGAAAAATTGTTTCATGATCATTACAAATAAATCAATAGTTACATGAGACTCTCAGAATAAAAGCTGATGTTAGCCAAAATCTCATCCTGATAGATAAGCAGTATAATATTTGGCAGAAATTATTCTACATATTCTGCGTACCTGGTAACAGATAAAAATTGATTTTAACAAGGGGATATTTAATATGTATGAGTTTTAATAGCATAAATTATTGTCCTTAGTCCAATTATCTTTTAAATGAGAAAATGAGATGAAACTGAGGCAATCAGTGCACTGAAGATAGGTCATTTCTAAGAGATGCAAAATTGAGGAAATCGTACAATATTAATGTCCTGAGTCAACTGGTGTTTTTCTGAAACTGCCTAATTTTAATCCTTAATAACACAAAGCATTCTAAGAGTCTCATGATTAATCAATCTAGTTAGAGAGGTACCTAAAACAAAGCTTTTTAATATTCAGTTAAACAGCAGGATGAAATGACAGTTACCAGAAAAAAAAAAAATCACACCTGAACTCCTACTACCAGACTCAAGTTGTGTAAATGAATCCAGTGTGGAGAGAGTTGGATGATGGGGTGAGAAGGCTGGGTAGAGAGCTTGGGAAATCTGAGGGCACCAGGAAAGGGCAGAAGCACGGAACTGCAAAGCTCATTGGCGCCTTTCAGCTTGGGCAGGTCCCCTAGCTCACAATGGGATAAAAACTGAGCCTGCCTGGGAACCCCCTAGTGTGTCTGCAGTGTGCATAGCTGAACCTCACACTGGGCTCTTTTATTACCTACTTTCTTCTTTCACTTTTTGTTCTTTTGAGACAGGGTCTTCCTTTTTTATTTTTATGTTTTTAATATTTCATTTATGTATTTTTATTTTATGTGTATGTGTGTACTGCTTCCTTGTATGTAAGTGCACCTGTGTTGTGCAGTGCCCATGGAACTCAGAAGAGGTCATCAGATCCCCTGAGAACTGGAATTGCAGGTGGTTATTAGCTGCCATGTGGGTGCTGGGAACCAAACCCAGGTTCTCTGCAAGGGCAGCCAGTGCTCTTACCTGCTATGCCATCTCTCCAGCCCCCAATTCTTTTAACTCAAAAAAAAAAAAACCCAAAAACTTCTGTATGTGTATGTATGTGAAGTGTGTACGTGTACATGTGAGTCTGTGTGTGCATGTGCTATGGTGCTGATATGGAGGTCAGACGATAACCCTTGGGTGTCAGCCCTCATCTACCTTGCTTGACAGTTTCTTGTAAGACATAAAGTTGAATGAGTTTTTAACCTCTAAGAAAGCTCTCCATTTCATTTTAAAATAAACTGTTTCTTACAGAAAAACTCATTGTTTTTGCTAATAACACTTAGATGTTGACGCATGTGTCTCTAATTTGTATGTATCTGATTATTACTAGTCATGGTCTTCCTCTTTTAAAGAAACTGTTTTACGTTTATTATTTATTATGCATGTACCTGCATAAGCATGTGGAGGTCAAAGGACAGCTTGCAAAAGTTGGTCCTCTCCTTTTACCATGTGGGTCCTGAGGATCACACTCAGGCCATTAGACTTGGGGACAAGCACCTTTACCCACTGAGCCATCTTGCCTATCCAGAGACAGCCTTTCTATGCAGTTCAAGCTTCCCTTAAACTTAAGATCCCCCTGCCTCCATGTCCTGAATGCTAGAATGGCAGACCTGTGCCACCATTCCTGGCCCTTACTGTCTGCTTTTCTGATGCTCTGGCATCTTTAACCTTGATGCTCCTAGAGGGATTGCCTCTTCTGGATCAAAGATTGAGGGGCAAATCCACCATTCGTATGCACACTAACCAGCCTCAATGAGTTTCTTGCTTTCAGGGCACTGCCTACCTGTCCTATTTACCGCTAAGCCAGCCAGGTGCCAAATAATTACAGGCAGTCCCCTTGCGGCTGAGCCATGAAATTAGTCAAAGGAGCCTGTTGGCCCACTTTGCCCGTAACTTACTGGGACCACCACCACAACAAAGGCTCCTGCTACAGTTTTCCTTTGTCCCCTGTCTCCTGACAGACTCTGGTGTTTCCCCAGGTGGCTCCCGTGGTGACCCCGTGGTGCAATATGGGCCTCCTCTTGGATACTGTGAATAAGAAGCTATTTTCACTGGCTTTTTCCCCTTTCTTATCTGTTGATTCACCATGGCTGCATAATCATAAAGCTTCCATTTTAAAATGGTCTGATTCTACTGGATCCGAGGGTAGTCATGTAGGGGACAGCCCTTCATGGGCACAGCTCAGTATTACAGAGAACCTGCCAAAGCCCTACCAGCACCTGCTTTGTGGCCACATCTACAACTGGGTACTGAAAAACTCTGGTCCCTGGCAAAAGGCACTGTCTATGAGAAACAGCACCAAGTACCTGCTCCAATGCAAGCTTCCGTGTGAGCAGCAGGACCTAGGCAGCCAGATGAACCACCCACAGGCAGATGCCAGGCTACCTGGCAAAAGTACTTTGACCTCACTGAGAGGTAGATTGGCTTTCAGGTCAGACACAGCTGGGCATCCATGAAACACAACCAGAAATGCCTTGCCAGGTTCCCACGTCTGAATTTCTGACTCACCCAACTTGACCCTTGGGGCCTGCAATGTCGCTGACATCATAGAGGGGGGTAGAGGACTGAATATAGGGGCACGAACTGCATGAAATTTTATGCTCTCATCACTTCTGAAGAGAAAGTTCACTGTCCCAAGATGTAAATCAGTTAGACTCTTTGGTTTTGTAAGTGGTAATTTTTTTTTTTTTTTTTGATCCCTTGGAAAGTGTCAATTTAGCGTCTAGTCCATCTGGCAAAGTGTAACTTATTCTCACCAAGATAAGGAAATAACTCACAGAGCTTGGTTTCAGGAACATTGTGGGTCTGGAGGACAAGACAGTCACATGTGAGAACAACATGGGTCACAATATCACAACGTGCTCAGGGGACAGGAGGGGATGTGGTGGACCCTAGGCCACGTTCCCTGTTGCATGACCCACAGTACTCCATGCTTTCTCAGCACAGCCTTTAGCATCAATGGTGCTTTCTCATGGCCGTTTTGAAAGCTGGAGTGAATCTTCAGGAGCAATGTCATTCTGGATAAGAAGGACCACAGACTTAAGGACAGTGAGGAGCTTTTGCACAACGTCCCAGGGTGGCTTTTAACTGACCCTAACGGCTGCTCTAAAAGAACGATTCTAATCGCACCTCCATCCCAGCTGGCCCTTTAAAGTGTGTGTCACTTCTGATGTATTTGTTTTGTGCTTTGTGCGAGCACATGCACACACACGCACACACACACACACACACACACACAGAGTACATTCGGGGAAAATGTCTAATTCCTCTATTTTATAATAGAAACTATGTTCTTATCATCAATAAATACAGTTGGTGAAGTAGACTATCGGAATAACTATTCAAATGGCTGAACCCTTCATTTCTGCCCCTAACGCACCATGCATGGGAAATCTTTTGCAGATCAAATGTGGGTGATCATCCATGAAATGGAGCCAGAACATTTGCAAGTTGCTTGTTTCTAGCCTCACAGTTCAGATTTGTGTGCAGATGTGTTGTTTGTGGGTGGGTACACACACCTACACACATGCATGTGAAGGCCAGGGGAGGGCATTGGTGTCTTCCTCTACTACACTTTCCACCATATTATTTCATTAGGCAGGGTCTCTCATTGAACCTGAAGCTCACTGTTTTGACTAAGCTGGGTGGCCAGGGACTCCCAGGATCCTTCTGTCTCTCCCTACCCCCATTGCTGGGTTTACAGGCATGTATAGCTATACCTAGCTTTTATGTGGGTGCTGGGGATTTGAACTCAAGTCCTTTTGCTCTCACTGCAAGCACTCTAACTGGCTGAGCCATCTTTCCAGCCCACAGCTCAGACTTTTGTCCATAGATTTGTTTCTCTTAATCTCTTATGGAGCTTTCACAAAATGATTAAACACACACTCATGAGTTTCCATCTCCATGTAAACATTCATTCGGATTGTGGTCCAGGTCCTGAACTAGCCACTGGCAATGGCTATGGGAGCGGGGATTACAGCAATGACTAACACATGGAGGATTAAATGTTGTCTGTTTTTGACTTCCCAGGTGGTTGCTACACTGGGGACCACATCTTGCTGCTCTTTTGACAGTCTCTTAGAAGTGGGTCCCATCTGTAAGTATCTGATTCAGCTTTCTTTATGAAAAATGTTCTTAGCATTGGCAGGAATATAGCCAACCTTTCACTTGGAGCTGTGCTGCTCATCATTAATTTTATATCACCATGACTTGCCAAACTCTTCTTGCAATAATGTAACCTCATTCGCTTGAATTCTAGAAACTCAGTTTGAGCTAATCAGACAACACCTGAACTTTACAATCCCAAAATACTATTGGAAAGAAAAAAAACATCCAAGCCTTTTCTAGTGAAATGATATTCAAGATATGGTGGCTAAGTTGGGGAAACTAAGCTCCTCAACATACTAGAGCAACTACTCCCTGTGCAGGTTACACAGTATGTGTTGTCCACCTTTGAATCCAGTCTTTTGGAATGCCCTCTTTAAAGCTTTTTTTGGTCTTTTGAGACAGGGTCTCCCTGTAGCCCCAGCTGTCCTGGAACTCACTATGTAGACCAGGCTGGCCTTGAACACACGGAGATCCACCTGCCTCTGCCTCCCAAGTGCTGGGATTAAAGGCATGCACCACCACACTTGGCTTTAAAAGTGTAGCCTAGGCTTGCCTCAAACTCATGATCCTCCTGCCCCTGCCTTTTCATCATATCCTATTGGTTTGTGCCACCACTACCAGCAAAGGTATTGGCGTTCCTGCACTGGGCATTGAACCTGGGCTGCCTGGGTGAACACCAGGAATCATAACCACTGTTAAAATATTTTTAATGTTTTATTTATTATTTTATGTGTATGAGTGTATTGCCTGCATGTATGTGAATGCACCCATGTTGTGCAATGCCGTGGAGGTCAGAAGAGGGCTTCGGATTCCCATGGAACTGGAGTTAAGGACAGTTCGTAGCTGCTATGTGGGTGCTAGGAATCAAACCCAGGTCCTCTGCAAGAGCAGTCAGTGCTCTTAACCTCTGAGCCATCTCTCCAGTCCCTTAAAAATGTTTTTATTTAAGCTGGAGCACTTATTTAAGTGGTACATGCCTTTAATCCCAGCACTTGGGAGGCAGAGGTAGGTGGATCTCTGTGAATTCGAGGCCAGCCTGGTCTACATGGTGAATTCCAAGTCAGCTGGGGCTACTGGGAGGCCCTGTCTCAAAAAAGACCAAAAAATTATTTATTTATTATTTTTATGTGTATGAATGTATTACCTGCACATATTTAAGTGCACCTGTGTTGTACAACGCCCTCAGAGGTCAGAAGAGGGTGTTGGATCCCCTGGAGCTGGAGTTACCGATGGTTGTTAGCCACCATGTGGGTGCTGGGAACCGAGCCCAGGTCCTTTGAAATACCAGCTGGTGTTCTTAACTGCTGAGCCACCTCACCAACCCCTTTAAAACTTTCCTTTAAAGAAATTATTATCCTGTGTTGTATAACATTTCCAGCAAGGACAAATTCCATTTAGGATGGAATATGCCACATCCTAGGTATATAACAGCTTGCACCGTCTGTGTACAACTATGCTCTATGACATTCACCCAAAGACAGCCTGCAAAATGATGTGTTTCTTAGAACCTACCCATCATTAAGCAGCACATAGCTGTCAAGTGAATTGCTTGAAGTGATTTAGCAAATCAATACTTTCCAGCTGAGCTTCTCCAAAGAATACTCCATCTCAGATAATTTCCTGGCTTCTTCTTCCTTCCTTGACCAGGACATTTTGTCTTTCTCATTGAGACTAGAATTCTGTTAGTTGCAAAATGAATACATGGCTGTGTTTCTAAAGTTTTACCTTTAATGTGTACTCTGGGAACTCAACAGGCCCTGGAACTGTTTGTAGGGACAGGAGTACTCTGCTGGGGCACCAAGGATACACCAGCCCCTTCTCTGTCCTTCAGGGATGGTGAAGGCTCAGGGCAGAGCTGTCCCAGGCAGGCTTTCTGACCTCACTCCTTTGACTTGTGCCAGACCTCACACCACCTGCATGGCATTCGGCTTCATTGTCAGGCTGTGTGGTCCAAGCACATTTCCCACCTCTCCTAACCCCTGATTTGCCTGTAGTCTGTACTCAGGAGTGGGCTCTCCTCCCTGGTTTACTGTCCCCCGGGCAGCAGCTGGGGGAAGTGGTTGATGCAGGCACTCTGGAGTGTTGGGGCGGTGGCTGGCAGAGAAGCATACAGCTGCATGTCTTAAATTCTGACCTTCATTTTCCCTATCTGAAAATTGGAGAGAAAAACGCCCCTCATAATAGTAAAATAGTATTTCCTTCACAGTAGGGCTCCAGGGGAGTTCATGCAGACAAAGGACTGTGGGAAAGGAAGGCACTCCTGCCTGTGCTGCCAGAATCTCAAGGCTAGTCACTAACCGTGACCAGTGGGGTGGACGCAGGATTGCCATTCACTCAGGATTTGGCTCCACCTGTTGTGAGCTATGGCACAGCTGTGATTATGACTGGCTGAGGATCTCCATGCACAGCATGCTGAGAACACACAGAGCTAGCTGGCCATCCCCAGCTATGGCTGTGCTGTGGGCCTCGTTAGCTGCAGACCTTCGCAAGCTCAGCCAAGCAAGTCCAAGTCCTCTGACTCAGATGTCAGGCCAAGGACTGAATGTTCTGGCCAACAGCCGGCTGATGTCATTCCCCAGGGCTATCGGATTTAAAGGGCTGAGGTCTTCTGCCAGACAGATCCCACGCGGCTGCTACCCCTGAACTCAGTGTGGCTGCCCACAGGAGCGGGAAGATGACAGCTAGCGGGTGGCCCCAACCATTAATGCTCACAGTGCCTGGATGATTGCAGCTCAGGCCGCCCTGCTATCCTTCAACTCCCTCTGCCAGGCGGGTGTAGGGCTATGGGCAGAGGCTGACGTGTGCTGTACTGTTTGGGTTCAAGCCCAGATATTGCTCTTGGGATGATGCTGGGGGTGCTGACAAGCCAATGCCAAATCCTTTCATGTATGGCCAGTTTTCATACTTGAGGGCAGTATTACTAACTGGTCATAGTGCCTTATAACCCAATCTCTCAGCCTACATCTTTTATTTAGCTATCATCAATTAGCACTCTTAGTATTCTGAGTTGGCCTTATCTTATTGATTAAAATAATCTAGTTATAACAATACAGAGTTCTTCACCTCAACAAAGGCACAAATCAGAAGATTTTCTTCCAATTTTTGCTTCAGGAAGGACAGATTCTTCTTAATCTGTTTAAAAATGATTCACAAGAGAGGTTGTTGATGTTAGTTCACCCGGATGGACTAATTGCCATGGAGGGGTCTATTAAGAAGAAGATGGAGGGCTGAAGAGATGGCTCAGTGGTTAAGATGGCTGCTCTTGCAGAGGACCCAGGTTCGATTCCCAGCACCCACATGGCAGCTAACAACCATCTATAACTCCAGTTCAGGGATGGGAAGAGGATGGAACATGGTAGATGGATAGATGGAAGCCTTAGGAGCCGGGTATGGATGAAGGGAAACCGAGGCAGTCTGGCTGAGCTGGGGAGGGAGTCTCAGGGGTAGGAAAGGGGAGTGGTGTATGGCAGACTGACCAAGCTCCATCTTCAGGGCCAGAAGGGGTGGAAGAAAGATGTGTTGCCTTGGGAAGCCTGACCTGACTGCTGCATTCTGGGTAAGCTTCTTAGGAAACAGGTGGCAACAGCAGTGGGAAGCTGAGGGCTGTAGAGGTTAAAGGTAGTGTGATCTCAATGCCAGTGTGCCTGGCACATGTAATTCCTCATCTCTGGCTGCTGTGTGTTCTGAGTCTAGCTAGTTCCTACATGGGTGTACATGTGCTGGAGGCCCTGAAGGATGGGCTCCTATCAGCCAGTCACCTGGTTGAAGATGCAGAACACAGAAGCAATGCCAAACCACCTCACTTTCCCATAGGACCAAGAGAAGCCCACATAGAAGCTTCTAAGTAGCATCTGTGAGCTCCATTCTGTGGTAGCTTGGGGCTAATGGAAGTTTGAGGAGACAGTCTCTACAAAGCAGTCCTTGAGTCTGACTGCCTTTGCTCAGACACTTGTCACGGCTTCAGACTCCTGGAAGACTCAAACTACTGAAAACTGTGCTCACAGGGGTGGGTGGAGATGGGGATTAAAATCAGCTAAGGAGACACACAGGCCAGAGTCTAGGAGGACGAGCACATGCAACTTCTGGTGATCTTCACAGAGCCACAAGAGTAAAACTGCCTTAGTCACAATGTGCGACCCTGTGCACTGGGTAAGGACATTTCCCTACTAGGCCAGCTCCCCTGACTTTTCAATGTCTATTTGGGGTTTTTTTTGTTGTTGTTTTTTTGAGGACCAAGTCCTCACAAAGGGAAGGCCACAAGGGAAGACCCACAAAGGGAAGAGGGGACCTTGTCCTTCCCCTCTAGTGATCAACTCCTCCAGAGATCAAAATTGATATGGCATAACCCAGTGCCTCCATCATAATTCATAGTATCAGACTGGAACCAAATTGGACTTTTTGGAGGTGAACTTGATTCTTCACTATAGACCTATCTAGTGCCCTCTTCTTTTGTCCCATGGGGACATTTGGTCCTTTCCTGTCCATTAAAGCAAAGCTTGTGGGCAAAGGTATTTAATTCGCTCTTGGTATAGCTCTTGGTCCCATTCTCACCTGGGTGCATGGAGCCGGCTCTGTGACACTGAGATGTGTTATTCATTGGCCTGATTTCAAGTGTTCACTGTGTTTCCCAGCATTACCTCCTCTTAAGGATGGAGACTATGGGAAGAGAAACAGAAAAGTGAGGGAGAAAGAGAAGCTTGCCTGGCCTCCCAGAGCCCACTTTTCCTCCCATGGTATATGTTCTTGTTGGCTCTCTGCCCATGTGGATTCAGTATCTTGTTTTATTTGTTGTTGTTGTTTTTTATTTTTTTGTCTTTTTGAGACAGGGTCTCCCTGTAGCCCCAGCTGTCCTGGAACTCACTATGTAGACCAGGCTGGCCTCAAACTCACAGAGATCCCCCTGCCTCTGCCTCCCAAGTGCTGGGATTAAAGGTATCTGCCACCACACCCGGCTTCTTGTTATTTTTTAAAAATATTTATTTTGCTTTTTTATGTGTCTGTGTGTCATTTGTGAGTATGTGCTTGTGTGTGCCAGAGTTACAGGCAGTTGTGAGTTGCCCAGTGTGGGTGTTGGGAACCAAACTGGATCCTCTGCAAGAGCCATACATTCTTTTAACCAGAGTCATTTCTCCAGCCTCAGCATCTTGTTTTGTCTCATTCCTTCATTTAACATCCTGAACTGGGCACAAATGATAGCATCTACTGAACTCCGCTAGAGGACCTCAGCCAGAAAAAAAGGATATTCCATCACTGAAAGTCTCTGTGGGGCCTAAATAACACCTGTAGAAAATACAGAATCACCTTGTTTTGGTCCATCTGTGCTGCTTTCACAAAGCACCACAGACCTACTGACTTATAAATGACAGAAATTCATTATTCACATTTCTGGTGACTGGAACTTCAAGATCAAGGCACCAATAGAGTTCATGATTGGTGAAAACCTGTTTCCTGATTCACCAGTGACACATTCTATATGCATTCACCTGGTGGAAGACCCAAGGAGTCTCTCTGGGGTCTCTTTTATAGGAGAATTAATTGAGCTCTGCCTCAATGATCTGGTCACTTCCCAAACGTACAACCTCATAGCACCATCATATTGGAAGCTAGGGTTTAACAGGTGAATCATAGCATATCTTATAAGGAAATGTAGTGTTTCTGTTTCTCTCCTAGCTAATAAAGACTGATGCCAGCTATGTCCATCTATCATGATTCTTTTATTCCAAGGGAAGAGTCCTGTATTATCCTACATCTTTGTCTCTTGCTTCATTTAATTGGATCATGTGAGCACCTGGTGAGATTGACACCTTCATCCTTATACCTTGCTTTAGGTGACTCAGATTTCTCCCTGCATCTTAGTGTTTGACTATGGTGCCCTGACATGGTGGTTTCCGAGGGAGAGTTAGGGGAACTAAGGCCAATAAGGAGAAAGGGACCTTTTTGAAAAGGCGACTTCTGCTCTCAGGGCTGCCTTACTCCCCTTCCATGGGCTTCTCTAAACAGTTACTTTTACCCAAGTTTGAATGGTCAGATTTAAAAAGCCTTAAAGGGAGCCAGCCCAAGAGAGGGTATCCTAGGCAACACCAATGAGGGACAAAGGAAGGGAGTTAGGAAAGGGGAAGGCCTCAGAAGCCTATAAAAGGCCAGACCCAGAGCTCCTGCTTAGGATGCCCAGCTCTGGGGGCCCCACCCATCCTGATGAGAGCTGTCAGTCTGCTGCAATAAAGTCTGTCTTTTTACTGTCTCCTTTTCTTTGGTCAATGTTTACCTATTCTCTGTGCCTGGAACTTTCTGGAGTCTGACCTCCACCCTCTTGTTCCTACCCTGGCACTTTTGCTTCTGAAGTCTCTCCCCCTCCCCCAGCCCTCCTATTCCCTCCCTTCCTCCCTCTCTCCCTGGCTTCTCTTGTTTGCCCTTTTTCCTTCTCTGGTGCCTGGGTCTTCTGCCTTTCCTGGATGTCCAATATTTTGTTCGTTCCTCATCCCCAACCCCACATCAGTATCCACATGCTTGTCATGCATTTGACCTTGGTACACCAAGGTTTTTAACCCTGAAGAATAAATGGAATCAAAGGTTTGGAATGTCTTTTACATCTTTTAGCAGCAGTGCTCAGAGTGACTCATTTCTCCTCACAGCACATTGATTAATGAGCATCATATATGAAAAAGGAAATGGCGGGTCCACTCCTCTGTATAAATGCAGAGAAAGGCTGACATTAGGCACCAGGATCTTTACCTGTGTAGGGACTGATGCCTGCTATCCTCTCTGATCTTACCCACCTCATGACCATACTTGGGCTAAGGAAGGGACTAACCATGGCATGTTACTTTTCATGGGGAGATATAAGCTAACATCTACTCACTCCAGATAGGGAAACAAAGGTAGACCACGTTAACAATTCTGCAAAAGCCCAACTTGGCGAACCATTGAGTCTACTGGAGTTATTTACAGGCATGTGGATGAGGGGTTATTTATAGAAGATGGAGCACTCAGTGGTAGCTGCCTCATTGAAAAGCCCACTCCAGCATGGAAGATGTCTCACAGAAGCTACGTCCCTAGAATTCCCTGTATAACTTGTAGGCAGCTCTGCTAATCAAAGTCTCCTTTCTCTAGCATTATTACTACTTATATAACTTTGGGGAAGGGGACTTTGTGAATCCTGTAACTTTCTAGAACTTCCTGAAACTTGTGAGTTGTTTAGTTCCTGAGCCTTATAAGTTTTCTTTACTCCCTGAATCTTAAGGAGCATCCCTCAAGGATGGAATATTTTGATTTGGAAGAAATTGCTACACAGCATATGAAAATCAGTAATCTCACTGACTTCTAAGTGCTATGATAGGCAAGGCATAGGTATTATCTGATGTATTACTCAAAGCTATGAGTACTGCTTTTCTCTCCACTTTTCTTTGAGAGTGTGAAGCTTAGGCTAGGTGGATAAAGGCAGATAGCTGCAGAGTAGGGAGCTCAGATGTGCCCATATTGAGGGAGTCTGCTTATACGAAAGCTCTCTTAGTCCTAAAATAAGGTGAAACCCCATTCTTCAAGGCTGTTCTATATGGTTGGAGTGAAGGTTGGTGTTTATTGTCAACTTGACAGGATCTGGGATCTCTTAGGAGGCAAGCCTCCAGGCGCACCTGTGAAGGATTATCTTGTTTAGGTTAACTGAGGTGGGAAGACTGGGCCTAAAAGTGGGTGGCACTGTTCACTGGGTGGGGGTCCTGGACTGCACAAAAAGGAGACTGCTAGCTCAGGACAAGCACTGTCTGATTCTTGGCTACGGATGCAGCATAGAATCCACATCTTGTGGATACCAGCTTCTGCCACCAGAACTTCTCCATCATGAAGGAAAAGGGGCAAGCAGAAGAACCAGGGAGGGAAGGAGGAAGGAGGAGGAGGGAGAGAGAGAGAGGGGTTGGAGGGAGAAGAGAAGCAAACTTAGCTTGACAGGGCCGTGAAAGCAGGGATCACAACTATTGAGAACAAGGTTGTTGGGGGGATTGAGAAATGACAGGGAAACTGACTCAGAGCTGTCTGTCACTGCTGGGGGCGCTACCCTAAGCAACCACAGAAGTTGCAGCCATGGGAGGTCTAGCTCCCCTGTCTTGACTTAGAGTGAAAGTATCAAAGGAGAGAGAGAGAGAGAGAGAGAGAGAGAGAGAGAGAGAGAGAGAGACTTCAGAAGCAAAGTGCTAGGACAGGAGAAAGAGGGTGGAGGTCAGACCCGAGAAAGCTACAGGCACAGGGAGTAGGTACCTTGAACTGGAAGCCCAAATAAGCCCATTCTCCCTTAAGTTGTTGTGGTTTTTTTGTTGTTGTTGTCAGGGTATTTTATCACAGCAATAGGAAAAGTGACTATTACAGTTGGGAAACAGAAATCTTATTCATGAAGGAAGCCAAGGATGGTAGTATAAGATAAATCACCTAACTCTCTAGTAGAGATAGAGGAAGCAGTGTGTATAATATTAACAGGGTTGTCTAGAGGAATAGAGCCAATTGAAACACACACACACACACACACACACACACACACACACACACAGAGTTACAGTTATAAAAACAGGACTTATTAGATAGTCTCTACGATAAGGACTGGGCAGTCCAAAAATGGCCACCTGCAGCTAGAAAGGCAAAAAACTCTGTAGCTGCTCAATCCAGGAAGTGGATGGTTCAGCATTCCTAATCTAGTGCTGAAGGCCCTTGGAGTTTCTGGTATTGAGTCCACAGTGGACGGCTACAGAAACTGGAGCCTGATGTCAGCAAAGGACAACACCAGCAACAGGTCCAGTCCGTCAAGGAGAAGCAGCTAAGGCAAACACTGACTCTCCTAGGACCTCTTTGTATCTAGGCCACATGTTGGAAGGTGCTACCCACTTTCAGGGTGGGTCCTCCCACCTCAGTTAATGCTTTTCAGAAACACTCTGACAAACATGTCCAGAGGTTTGTCTCCTAGGTGATTCCAAATCCAGTCATAATGGCCATCAAGACCACCCATTAGTCTGTGTGCTCAGCTTATCTCAAAGGATGTTCCTTAAAGGAGGATCTGAGAAGTGGTTAGCAAAAAGAATAGGGGAGGACGTTCCAGGTGGGTGGGATGGGAAGGATGGAAAACAGTGACAAAACTGGAAGAAAACAGCTAAGCGGAGTGGAAGTAGCAGGTGCTAGTCACTCAGCACTGCCCTGAGTAGTTGCTTGTGTTTCCCCAAGTCTGTAAGCAGTCTGAGCAGCTGGTGTTCTGGGGCCAGCAACCCATACCACTGTCCTGTTTTATAACCTCCTGGTGAGATGGCTTTTGGAGATTCAGCCATTTGTTCCACAAATATTAGTGATATGCTATGTGTAAGAGGGTTGCTAGACAAATGTCTGTCTGATTCTCATAAGAAGTGTCCAGGTGACAACTCATCAGCTGCTTTTTGCTTTAGGCAACCAGGAGGGCATGTGGCTGCACATTGATGCCGCATATGCAGGCAGTGCCTTTATCTGCCCTGAGTTCCGCTATCTTCTGAATGGTGTAGAGGTGAGTATGCCTCTGGCTGTTTAGTAAAGCCTTTTCTTTTGATTTGTTGTTGTTTTTGTTTCAGTTTTGTTCTTTGTTTTTGTCTGCTTTGATTTTTTTTACCTCTGCCCCCACAACCTGCACTAGAATTCAAGCCCAGGGCTTCCTCTGTGCCTGGCAAGTACTCTACCACTGAGTCACACTCCTAGCCCAAAGTCATTAAAAAAAAACTACTGTCAAGGCTAGAGAGACGGCTCAGTGCTTAAGAGCACTGGCTGCTCTTGCAGAGGACCTCGTTTTGATTCCCAGCACCCACATGGTGGCTAACAACCATCCTAACTCCAGTTCCAGGAGATCCAATGCCCTCTTCTGACCTCTGAAGGTACTGCATGACAAGGGTGCACTTACACATATACAGGCAATACACTCATATACATAAAATAAAAATAATAAATAAAATATTTTTTAAAACCCCAAAAAACTGCTGTCTAGTCAGCAAATCTCCCTTTATAAGAATCAGACATCCCATTTGTAACTACTGTAGTTTGTTTCAGAATTTTACTTTCCAGCCAGTTTCAATGGTTATTAGAAATCATACGTCCTCAGGTAGCTGGAGAGATGGCTCAGTGGCTAAAATCGGGCACTGCTACAGCAGAGAGCCTGAGTTCAGTTTCCAACACCCACATCAGGTAGCTCACAACCTCCCATAACTCCAGTTCCAGGGAATCAGACACCTTTGGCATCTGTGTGCCTGAACACACATGTACACATGCACGCACACACAAATAATTTTTAAAAATGAAAAATAAATATAAGAAATTATACTTCATCAGGACAGGGGTTGACAACCTTCCTGGGTCATGCAGCCTGTTTCTGAATCACTCCTGAGACTGACAGAGATTTTTCCAGTCACTACAAATCCTGGGCAGAGCTGTGCATAATAGACTTCAACCTATAAAACTATGGAAAAATATTTATAGACAAAATAAAATTTCCATACATTCTATTTAAAGGGTAATTTAAAACATTAACCTGCAATTCTCTACAACCTGGCTCTGTTGTTCACATTCTTCTCATGTAACCGAACAAGACGGTCAGTCACTTCGGCCAATATTTCACAAAAAGCCATGGACACATTGAAATGTCCCATGCACTCTTCTGCAAACTGCAGAATATATCCTGTAATACCAAACCAAACAAACCTTTGTTTCCTTCAGAAATAGTAATCAAAATTGTTGGCCAGGACTCTTTTCTTCCACAGAGCTGCAGAAAATAAAGCAGTACAGACTTAATGCACATAAATCAGCTGTGGATGTGCTACATGCTATTTCAAAGTCAAATGGAATTCCATTGCTGGTGAAAGCCCATAGGGATAGAAGGTCTTCTCCCCTGGAACTAGCATATGATTGTAATAAAGGGCCCCAAGAGGCCATCTGTAGTGTGTCCAAATTTTGAGAGTCATAATCTTAGCCAAGAAAAAAATCGCTTTCTGCTTAGGAGCACAGGTTTCTTGAGACTTTACCCTGTAAGTGAAGCAAGATCAGGATGCAGGCTTTAATGTTCGGCTCCCAGATTAGAATCACTGTGTGCCCTTGGGCGGGTCTGGTATCCTCTGGACACCTCATGAAATGAATTTCCTAGTGATGCCTCTTTTGTGAGATTAGCCTAAGGAGTAGCTGTGTTAATCTTGTTTAAAAGGCTCAAGAACAGTGTGGCACATGGGAAACTGAGCATGCATTAGATGCTTTCATTATGTTTTGCAGGGCTTGGAGAAACTTCCCCTCTAAACCTCTTTCTGCTTGCATGTCAGGCTTGCCAATCAATTTTCTAATTACTATTTTGAATTCTCATAATGCTGTAATACCAGAAAAGTGAGTGTTAGAGGTATAGAATACAAATTGTCCCATCTTGGAAAAGAATAATCTCCCTCTCACTAATGAATAAAACAGCATTCTGGTTTTCATCTCCACTGTGTTCACTCATTCAGGGATGCATTCAGTAATTCTTTATTGAGTGCCTCATACACACTGGGCTTAGATGGATTCTAGGAGGCAGAGAGACAGCCAAAACCCTAAGTACTGGGGGTTGGGTCAGCATGTGAAAAGTTCTGATAATATAATGCTGATGCCAAGTGCCTTACAGTTCCATAGCTAGCTTTGTGGTTGTCTGGAGCTCAGAAATAAAGATTAAATCTTTATTGTGTATGAGCATTCCTAATCCAAAAACTCCAATATCCAGAATGTTCCAAAATCTGAAACTCTTTGAGCACTGACGTGCCAGAGTAGCAAATTCCACACCATGAAGCTTTGTTTCAGGCACAGAAATTTGTAATTTTTTAAAAAATTTATCTATATTTTATGTATATGAGTGTTTTGTCTGCATCCACGTAAGTGCACATGTGTGTACAATGCTCGTGGAGGTCAGAAGAAGGCATTGGAAACTCTGGGTCTGGAGTTGCTGATGGTTTTTAGCTGCCATGTGGGTGCTGGAAACCAAACCCAGGTCCTCTGCAAAAGCAGCCAGTACTCTTAACCCTTGAGCCATCTCTCCAGCCCAAGAACAATATTGCATAAAATTACCTTTAGGCTATGTGTATAAAATAGATCTTGAAACATTTAAAGTTCATGTTCAGAGCTGGATCTTATAGCTAATATAGTTCACTATATATGCAAACATTCCCAAATGCAAAGAAACAATCATTGGAAGCATTTCTGGTTCCAAGCATTTCAGATAAGGGATACCCCACCCATTTGTCTCCAAGTATAGGAAGAAGGGTCGTGCATTTCATGTGCCTTTCCTGCGGTCAGGCCTTGAGGGAGGCTGCAAAGTCCCAGGATCCGGTTTAGGGTTTCCTGATCTTTTCTACCACTGCTCTTCTTCTGCCGTGAACTGACAACTCAAGGTTTCGCCTTTCATAGAAGGGTGCCGGACAGTCAGACCACCACAGCGACAGGCCCTGCAGCTAGATCCTATCAACAGCAGACGGCATTCACAGCACTCGCAAGGACTAGGAGTCAGTGCAATTTCTCCTCCATTACTGCTGCAGCTCTCCGCTTGCCTGGCTGAGGGTTTGGCTGCTCCATGGTCAGATAAGCGGCCGCAATATCCTGCTGTGGCCCGACCCTCGCTGATAAGCGCAGTCCTCTCTGTCAGCAGGAGGAAAATATCACTGTACGGTAATGAAAGAAGTTTAAACAGATCAGCCCCGGAGGAGAGAACTAATAAAATCCCCGGCAAACAAAGCTCCCCTTTAACCTTTTGTTTCCTTTTATCAACAAATGAAACTTGCTGTAATTTCCTGTCTCCTTCTCAAAATTACTTTTTCTGAAACCTGGGAGGAAATGAATCCTACCTCCAGCTTGGGTCCATATGGAAGCTTGCATCAGCTGGCCCATGTCTGTCACTGACGCCAATCTGGCCCCTTAGGTCTTTGCTGCCTCCTTAGTGATTGTCCCTGCAATCAAATAAAGAGCCACTGCGTGAAGCCTTTGGGAAGGCTGGAAACTGTCCCTTTAGGAAACTGGGCTAGACTGGGCTTTGCAGTGGGCCTGCCTCTATTTCTGCTTCACTCCGGTTTAACTCTGTGGCATTCAGATGGATCCATTGCCATTTGCAGTCCCATGGGACACCAAGGCCTGCATTGGAAAGTGGTAGAGAGCAGCCTTTGTGAGGACACCTGGATTTGGGAAACCCAGGTGCCCTCTTCAGGTGCTGCTGGTGGTTGAAATCCCTGATTTTCTTCTTGAAAACATGGTAGATGAAGCTGCAGCTGTTTTGATCCTCCAGTCAAGAAAACTGTAATGGTTAGGAATTCAGTGAACTTAGACATTTTTTTAAAAAAGAGGAAGGAAATCTTTAAATACTTGGGAAGCATCATGGCATACTGGCAAAAGAACCTTTCAATTAAGTCGAAAATACAAACCTCCCCCCCCCCGGTTTTTCCCCAAGTTTGGGGGGTATTTATTTTTATTTATTTATTCGCCCAGCTTTATTTATTTTTTTATGTGTATGAGTGTCTTGCCTGCATATATGTAAGTGCACCTGTGTATGCAATGCCCAAAGAGACCAGAAGAAGAGCCCCTGGAACTGCAGTTACAGACAGTTGTGGGTTCTGAGAACCCAGCTGGCATTCAAAACTGAATCTTCTGCAAGAGCAGCCAGTGCTCTTAACCGCTGAGCCATCTCTCCAGTACCAAACTATCAAGATTTTATAGTTTTGAAAGATAGTCGCTTATGTTTTTTGGTCTTTTTGAGACAGGGTGTCCCTGGGGTCCCAGGTGACCTGGAAGTCCCTATGTAGACCAGGCTGGCCTTCAACTCACAGAGATCTGCTTGCCTCTGCCTCCCAAGTGCTGGGATTAAAGGCATGTACCAACACGCCTGGCTGAAAAAGCAATTTCTAATTACTGTAGATTGGCTGTGAAATTTTCTCTTTCTCATTGTTTATGAAGATACATATATTCTAAGAACTTTTCTTGTTCAACAAGTTGAAGGAACAAGGCGTGAAGCACATCTTTAATCCTAGCACATGAGGCAGACTCAGATGGATTTTTTTTTTTTTTTTAGTTCAGGCCAGTCAGGGCTGAATAGTACAAAACCAACCCCTGTTGAAGGGGTGGGGGGGGCGGTGGGAAGAAATTGAAGGACTCATGGGCAAAAAGCACATGTACAGTTTCTGAGCATAGTATTTATAAATGTTATAAATGTAATATTCTAAATAGTCCAGCTCTTTGAAATCTAGCATAGGAATTCTTCCATGATATCAGACTATGTAAATTAGAAAGTGCTCTTCATGAGGAATCTAAACTGTTAGAATGCACAGGGTCTTGTTTTATACCTAAACATCTATAACCAAACTGCTTTCTTTTTGTTGTGGTTATTCCTTGGCAGTTTGCAGATTCATTCAACTTTAATCCCCACAAGTGGCTTTTGGTGAATTTTGACTGCTCTACCATGTGGTAAGTTTCCCCATTGTTCAGATGTTTGCTACCTGTGTCCATTGCTCTGCAGAGATAGCAGCTCACCTGACAGAAAGCTGGCGGGGCCCCTGGAAGAGCCAAGTGGACACACCTAACCACTGAGCTCACCGCTCCTTTCCATTTAGAAACCACTCTTGGAATTCTTGCTAAATCTCACCCTGACTTGGCTGTAAATTTTTATCTAAACTATGTTGCAACATAGTTGCAGAGAAGAAATCCAAGGAAATTTCACTACTTGCCTTTAATTTAGTTGCTTCTGTGTTTTTTTTCTCAGATTTGTCATCAATCTCTCAGACTAATGCTGAGCTTAATCTAACTGCTTAAAAATACTTGTTAATAATAAGAGTAAACCTGTCTCTTAAAATTTCCCTGGAAGTTCTTAATAACTCAGCAAGCAAGAAAAATAACTAAGAATTAAAATAATATTATATAATGATATTTTAAGAAATAAAGGCTGGGAGTAAAGCAGTGACACTAGGAACTTGGTTCTCAAAAAAGTTGTAGAGTGAGAAATTGATTAACTAGCTCAGTAATTACAGACCAGAGGACTTTGCATGAATTGTGTACAACATGTAAGATTACAAAATTTCCCAAGTTTTCAGCATACTTTCTTTGCATCATAGCTCAGTATATAATTAAATGGATAGATTTTCACATTAAAAAAAAGCAAGGAAGGTAGCTCTCACACAATCCAGGTAATGCCAAGTCTCCCAGTTTACCAAATAATCAGTTTGGTGTTTTACTAGCTTATCTCCAGTCCTTTATTAGCTGTCATATCAGATTCTTTGCCATGATCTTTCCCCCCAGAATTTTGGTAACATTTTATAAAACTTATTTATTTGATCAAGTGTGTGTGTGTGTGTGTGTGTGTGTGTGTGTGTGTGTGTGCAGGCACGTGTGGAGGTCATAAGACATCTCTCAGGAGTTGGCTCTCTCCTGCCACCTTGTGGGACCCAAGGATCCAAGTCAGGTCATCAGGCCGGTGTGCAAGCGCCCCTATCTGCTGAGCCATCCCTTACTGACCCTTGATAACACTGAAAAAGGAATTGGCACATGAGCATTCTTGTTCAGTCTTGTCTGAAACACTAATAAGGATGTGTAACAACTGCAGCCTGGGGGATAGGAAGGCTCTTTTGTATGCTTTTGGCTATGTTCTCAAAAGTGGAACATAGTGACAATACCTTACACAGTGTACTCAACTCTCTTCTTTCAAAACTTAATTTGGGCTGAGAGTGGTGACTCATGCCTTTAAACCAAGTAGCACTGAGGGGCACAGGCAGGTGGATCTCTTTTAGATCAAGTCCAACCTCATCTACATAGTGAGTTCCAGGCTAGGTGTAGCTACAGGGAGACCTTGTATCAAAAAAGACCGAATAATAATAATATTGATTATAATAATTTGGGTCAGAATGTTCTGCTGGGATACTTGGTCCACTGGGAAATGCTAGGAAGCTAGAGAATAGAGAACCTGCTGGACAGTCAGCAAGGGCTCCCCCACCAGCACAGGTATGAGAGCAATCTCGGGGCAGAAAAGCAACCAGTGGAAAGGAGCTATCCGCACAGGGCGGTGGTAGATACTGGGGTGCTGCCAGCAGTCCAACCACAGGGGCTCTAGCTATAGCAGCAGGCTTTTGTTGCCTCCTGGATAAAACAAAAACCTGCAGTAGTTGGTGGAAATTCTCTGGCTCCCGTCTGAACCCTGGAGTTAAGTACCTCCATAGACTCTTGAGCCACCCTGGAAAGAGGATACGGACATCATCATACTCCCACTACCATGCCCCCACTACAGTTGAGGAAACTGAAGCTGTCAGGGATCAAAAAAATATTTAGGACCCCAGGTCTATGATGAAAATATATCCGTTAAGGAATATAGTACTAACATCTGATACACATCAAGCGTGGCATCCTGCCCTTGGATCTGGACAAGCAATGCACACAAAAGAGCTGGGAGAAAACATACTTTACCAGTGATGTAATGAGAAACTTTGGGCTATCATAAGCCTTCCCTGTGGCTGATATGGCCCAGGCTCCCACAGATGCTGGAACAGGTGCAAGGAGGCCGTGCACTGGGCTTGCAGCTGTCTGAGGCAGTCACTGCCTGGCATCCTGGTATCAGCTCAGGCCCAGGCTAAAGAGGGAAGTTGGATAAAATGGAATAACATGAGGAGGAGATGCAAGAAATACAGAGAGGAGGCTAGACCATGTGGAGAAGGGAAAGGTCAGAGGGTGAGAAAACTCGGCCTAAGTCCTAAGTTGCACAAGAGTGATGGTTCTTGCTGCCTGGAGTGGGCTTCAGTATTAAGGAATTTCCTACTTGCCAGATTTAAATCAGAGGCAAAAGGTGCTCTTCTGAACTGATTTGTTCTACATTAGAACAATTGCCAAAGGTTTGGGTGAGAAATTGTGCATGTGCATAAAAAGTAGGTCTGGCTCAAGTCTGCAGTTCTATCCCATGACATCATAAAAATGGCATGACTAGAGACTGATGGAACTTGTCTGTGAAGGTTGCTGTTTTAATACAGACCCTGCTTGTGTTTGCTATTGAAGGCTCTGTGCTGCCATTCCTGTGCTAATGCTGGCCTCTATGGTTCTATGCCCTGTGTAGCACACAGAGATTTGTTCCCCTGCAGTCCCAGAGGCCAGAAGTCCAAGATCTAGGTGTCAGCAGGGTTGCTTTCTCCTTGGCCTGTAGACAGTATCTTCTCCCTGTCTGAACTTGGCTTTCCTTCTGTGTGTGCTTGTGTCCTAAGCTTCTCTTCTTAGAAGGACATGTGAGGACACCTACCAGAATACCTCAGGGCCCATCCAAACAGCTTGATTTTACTTTCGTTCCCCTGTAAAGACCTTGTCTCCAAATACTATCACACTTGGAGGTTCTGAGCATTAAAACTGAAACAGATTAATCTGGGGATGGAAGCACAGTTCAGCCCATGACAGTGCTTATAAGAGATTGCTGGTGAAAGCCAAAGGCTTATGAATCCAGAGATTGAAATCAGATGGGTTTCGTTTAAAACACATAATCTTAATTACATCAGCTCCGCCCTGCTTTCAACTTATTTGATCCTTATTAAAGTTAAATTTTCTTGTGGACTCACTATACCCAGTCACTTGATTTCCTATGTTTTTTCATTTCTTACCGCCAAAGAAATTGGTTCTTCCCTTTCCCAGTGAGTGAAGGAAGAATGAGAATTTTCTCTGAGACCTTTTGTACTGTCCTGAACCTGAACGTCTACTGAATACAAGCAAATCTTTTTTTTTTTTTTTTTTACACCATGAAATCATTGCAGTAATGTGACCTGCATAGGTAATAGACAGACTTGTAAACACCAGGCTTCAGAGGGCAGCCATTCCTAAGTACCCCTAAACTAGCAGTCCCAAGTTGAAAATTTTTTACAGATATCTTTTACAATTTCACTAAAACAACAAATATAAATTATTTTTTTTCAGTGCTTTTCCTGGCTTTTTTTTTGTATTCCTTAAAGTAAGGAGTGTCTCTCTTTTGTTTAATGAGATTTTTACCAGTGGTTAGTCCATAATGTAACATAAACATGTTGGTTGACTTCTTTAAATATTGAAATGGACAAGATAATTGAAGTTTCTAAAACTGGCAATCACATGCACAGTAAATACGTTTCTTAATGAATTCATTATTTTGTTCATAAGCTTTTTATTGTTTAGTTGGTACGTTGACTTTTGTTTGTAAGTATGAACTGATCTGTTCAAAGCTTAATGTTTGATTAATATCAGATGAGCCAAGAAGATCAACATCGGTCTCTCTTTTGTCTGATTAAATAAATGATCTCTGGACAGATGGGGATGGGGATTAAAGGAGAGCTGGGACGTAGCTCTGTGTTAGCACACCTGCCTGGCATGTGTGAGTACTGAATTCACTCTCCAACACCACAAAGAAGTAAACAAAGAAATGCACAGTGATAAATTGTGGTAGACGATACAAGGGTATAACTGCAGATACTTTGGAAACCTCAAAAACAGCAAGAGGAATATGATCATGTCATGTCAGGAACTGTCCACAATACATACACACAGTCCCACCATAACAATTTTATTTTGACAAAACTGACTCAATAATAAATGGAAAACCTGAAAAATCTTACAATGTGCCAATAAAATTTTCTTAGAACAGGAGTAGCCAAATTCTGCCCTTCTGCTGTCTGTCAGAGGAGAATCAATCCAATCACAAAAGTAATTCACAGAAAACAACAAATGTTGCCAAAGTAAGTTTCAGATTGATTCCAAAACCAGACAGGGCATGGTGGCTCATCCCTTTAATCCCAGCACTCAGGGGGTAGAGGCAGGAGGATCTCTGTGGGTCCAAGGTCAGCTTGGGCTACATAGTAAGACCTTGTCTCAAACAAAAGCAACAAATAAATAAGATTGATTCCAAAACCAGTTGAGAAGTACAGAAACAAACAAAAATCTATAGGACAAACTCGCACCCCTAAAAGTTAGAATTCCAAATCAAACATTAACAAGAAAATTCAATGATGTTTAAGAAAACAGTATAGAAAGACCAAACCGTGTCTGTTCCAGACATTAGGTAGTTTTAATATTAGAGGGTTAAAAAATATCATTTTCCAGGTGAATAGTGAAGGAGAAACAAAGTCATCATATTAGGTACAAAAAAAAGCATTAGGTAAAATTCACAGCCCTGCAGATTAAAAATGATTTAGTAAAATAGAAACAAAACTTTATTAGTCTGATAAAATATTCCTACAAAAAACTACAGTAAACCTTTTTTTAAATTTGTCTGTATGTCTGTGTATTGGCACATGCATGCGAGTGCAGATGCTGGAGGGGCCAGAAGCAGCTGTCAGATCCCCTGGAGCTGGGGTTGCAGGTGCTTATGAATCACCTGATGTGGGTGCTGGGAACTAAACTCAGGTGCTCCGCACAAGCACTGCATGCTCTTTGCCACTGAGCCATTTCTCCAGCCCCAGTAAACTTTTTTATGTTAGTCA